TGCATATATATATACAGTATATATGTATATAGGTGAAGTGTCTTGCCCAAGGACACAACAACACTGAAAGCCAGAGCTGGGGCTTGAACCGTCAACCCTTCAATTTCAGGGCAAACTCCTACACCGGACGCCACTGCCCACCCCCCACCCCCGACATTTACATTCTAATAAATGGGTAACACACGAGGATTCTCACTCCTCCTCAGAATTTGATCCATCATCTCCAATGTTTCTCAGCCCAATCTTCATCAGTGTAGCTTTCAGTGTTTTTCAACAAACTGCTAAAACGTCATTCTTACTCTTAATTTTTCATCCATTTTGTGGCAACCATTAAATCATGTCACTATGAATATGCATGGCAGTAACAAGCTCTTTTTAAAAGGAAAGAATAAAGTATATTTCTGTATTTTGTGTTTAAGGGTATTAAAAATAGAAAAGTCCCTGGAAAAATATTAGAGTGTAACACAGAAACCAAAGACAAAATATTGAAGTATTTATAGTTACGTACTTGACACCTCCAGCTGTCAGAATTTGAAGCTACAGTAAATTCTGGCTCTTATTTAGTTTCCATTAGATAATTTATTTTCTATGTACCGTAACTGTTTAAACTAGACTACGCAGTTTCATGTTTTCAACGTTTTGACCTCGGTAAAGCATGATGTCTGACACAAAGTCAGTAAAAATTTCTTCTGAAAGCCTTCTTTCAGAGGAGGCAAACTAATTCCTCTCTAATCTCTCCATCTCTGGAGGTTTTATATCTTTTCTGGCAACATCAAATTGACTAAACTGGGAACAGTTTAAGTCAACAGTGACGTCTGAACTGAATCCCTACTTTTAGCTCAGTCCTCATCTTCTTTAGCTCATTGTTTAATTTAGAGTTGCACTAAATGCAGCTAAACAAAGACATGGTTACATTTCTCATGACGTGAATTCTAACAAAACAAGGTGTAAAGTCTGGAGGAGAGAATGTGTTCACCATGATAGGTAGACTTCTCAGCATTGTTTGTCAATCCTCAACAGCAACAGCAACTTTCTTTATGGTTGGTGAAGGCTTATATTCTGAATTCCCATTAGCAATATCTGTTAGATTCTCAACATTTAATGGTAATTAATGGTTTGTTAGAAACTTCAGCAAATAAAGCAGTAAAATATTAGCAAATTTGGACTTTAATGTACTAATAAAAAAATGTCCATAGAGCCAGGACTAAAAGCATCCTGTGACTGACGGTTTCGTATGGAAAAAGATTTGAACTGTTTATGTTGCAGGAGTCCAGAAATAGAACAAAGCTACAGGTCTTACACAAATAGGCTTTACACTGTTTCAGCACTTTAATCAGGGAAGTCGTACCTGAGCATTAAATCCAGAAGAGACATACTTAGCAGCTTTCCCCCCAGATCAGATTTTTTTATCTCTGCTCCTGTCTCCTTGAAACCCAGTCAGCCTCAGCAGATGGCTGCTCACACTGAGCCCGGTTCTGCTGGAGGTTTCTTCCTGTTAAAAGGGAGTTTTTCCTCTCCACTGTCGCTACAAGCATGCTTAGTGTGAGGGATTGCCTTCCAGTCAATGAGTTGATTCAATCAACTGGTTTTCCTTAGATAGAAACATTTTAACCAATCTGACTGTATGATCTGGTGAACTGTAATGTATCTTGAGATGACATGTGTTGTGAATTGGCGCTATATAAACTAAATTTAATTGAATCTGTGAAAGCTGTCGACCCTGTAACCAAAAACTCATCCAATCTGCCAGAATTCATATGCAACCTGCAGCAAAACACATTCTATCACATACAAACATCCCTGCTTACAATCAGACCATCACAAAGCTGAACTTTATGCAAATATGTACTTAGAAATATACTTACAATGTTTTATCTATGCTATGTTTGTTAAAGTTAGTATGGGGGCTCCTAAAGGAAAAAAATTATACATTTTTAAATCACAAGTATTGTTTTATTTCACTGCAAATACACATTTCCACTGTACAGAAACAATAAGTTACAGAGTTATGTTTTCAAACATTAAGCATTAAAGGACTCTGAACATTAAAACTACATTTCATACAGGAATATATATAAAAATATACACAAAGACATATCAGTTGTTTAAAAGCTGCATCTGTCTGGGTTATGTCAGCGCTTTGAGTGACACGCTATGCCGCCGCTTTCTGACTGCGCTCCACAGCCATCCTCTCCAGTCGCTCTGTGTAGAATCCATTAAAGTCCAGCCTGTGGAGTCCAACACATAAATGAGGATTCGTTTTTTTTACTTAGAAACTGATGAGAAAGCAGTTACTGCAGTTTTACAAGGTGAATGTAAATCTACTAAAATTTACTGACTTACTCATCACTTTGTTAACACAAGCAAGAATAAAATATAAGTCAGAATAATATTAATTAAAAAAGTGAAATAAACCACTTAATTTCAGGATGTTTATGTCAAGTGTGAGTTTCGATCATTGCATTATGTTACGATCAAAGAGCCAAGGTGTTTTATTGGCACTCATGAGATGAAAGAAGCAAGTTTAATATTTTAGAACAGTTTCCATTAAAAAGAAAAACAAATTAATCCTGGTGTATACCTGGTATGTCATTACAAACTGGCCATGTTTTAGAGTCAGGGGCGGGGCTAAAATGAAGGCTCCTGCTGAGGTAATCTTAGTCATCTACCTGCAGTAAACTTATTGAAGGCTCAGGTAAAGTACTGCTGCTCAGCCACAAGGTTGAGTATTTATAACTAAAAGGTGATCCGGGAAATTATTATCTATTTAGTTTAGTTTTATATCCCAGCTTTCTCTATGGTACCATGCCAGATCTGATTGTGTTACAGATTTTTGTTTATTTCTATTCAAAACAGAAAGAAAAAAATTGTTCTTCAGCTAAAACCACTGGCTCATTTATCAGCTTCTACAGCTAGTGGAGATAATAATACAAATAATGCTCTTACTTGAAGATAAGCAGTAACAATTTAATCAGATAAGTTCAGTGCATGTAGATGATAAGAAGTACTGAAAAGACTGAAGGAGCCTTTAGTTTAGTTCTGTTATCGACATCAAACAGTGCTGTGCTTACTGAATGAACTCTGCAGAGACTCTGCATCTGATGCGACCCTGTGAGATGTGGCTGTGTTGAATAACTTTTTATGTAAAATCTATTAGTGCGTGTGGAGGTTCCTCCATCATTTCCCCAGTGTTAGTATTTATTTATTTAAAGCTCTTCACACAATACATTTATAATTTCACTTTTGTGGTGTTTTTTTTTTTTTTTTTGGCATTAGGTTGTTTACTATTATGGGTGCACACATTTATTAAACACTGTTTGTTTGAATTACCTACTTTTCTTTGCCGAGTTTAAAGGACTGGCTGGGTGGACTGGTTGAAAGGCAAACCAGCAAGTGGGACATACCACCAGGCTGCTGGAAGCAGGGGACTGGATGTTAGAGTCTGCTTCTCTCTCTCCACTTATGGCATAACTGTTAAAACATTTTTAGTGTTGCGTTGTTTTCTTTTGATAGTTGTGTTGTAGTCAAAAGGTGTTGGTTTGAATTAGTTATTTATGTTTATGCATTGTTTGTCTTTGTCTCATCTCCCACCCCTCCTCGTTTGGGTAGGCTAGCCTTTGTGTATAAATTCCCCTGTGTGTTCATTGTGTGAGGTCAGTTTTATTTCGGTTTGTTGTCCTGAGTTAGGTATGCCTTAATTGATTTCCTTTGGGCACATTTTGGTATATCTTTGAGATTTGATGCAAGTCCTTTTAGGAATAATTTTTTGGGAAATAAATAGAAAATACTTTATATGCCTTTGTCCTTGTGCCTTACTGGACGGACCCACCACAGTGCGTTTAAAAGACCAGGCCCTTTTTCCAATCACTCAATCAAAACACAGTTTCAACATAAAATTTGAGTATCACCACAACTGTTTAGTTTCTTTTTTTGTTTTATCCAGGGCTGTCCCAATCCAATATTGATATCAGACATCAGCCCCATATCAGGTAAAAAATGTATACCGCAATATATCAGCTTGCCTCTATAAACTTTACAATATAAGAAAACTTATATAAAATTTAGGTCTATCTGCTTTTGTTTAAAGGCTTATGTAAGTCTTTGTTCTCATAACTGATGTTTAGTATTGTTCCCTATTTGAAAAATATCATATGATCAAGACTTTTCAATCCACTATTTAAAAAGAGGCATTCAAAGTATGTATGATTACTGCTGATATAGTTTCGGTTAAACATCAGTATCGGTCAATTAGGAGAGTTGCAATATTATCGGAAATGAAAAAGTTGTATTTGGACAACCCTAGTTTGAATTAATTTAATGTCAATGATAGCCGTCACTGGTTTTGCTTCACAGGTACTAAAAGCAGAGCAACTCGATGTTTTAATAAAAACAAAAACAAAAAACAAGTGTTTTTATTGGGCCAGTACTAACTTTGTCTTGAGTGTCTTCTCTGTATCTAATCACCTTACCTTTTTTTTGGATTTATCATTGGTAGGTGAGTTTAAATGTTTAGTTTTATTCATGATATACTATATTTTTTTAATTATATTCTCATATTGAATATGTATATTAAATAACTGTATGAAGAGATTTTTAATTAAATTAACTCCCTAGCAAGAATCTCACACTGATCATTTAAATGTCATATAACGAGTACAGACTTACTGACCAGTGATTTAACAGAATGAACCCCAGGACAGACAGTTCCAATACTGAGAGGAACTGGGAAGACCTTTAGTGATGCCGATAGGTTTACCTGTAGATGATGCTGATCATGCTGTGCTCGCAGTCATTAGTGCTGTAGATGCTCAGCTTGTCCAACAGGTCAAGCAGCATCATGCTGAAGTTACTGTCAAACTTTCCGATTGTGGCTTCGAAGCTAGCGTCTGATTGGAGGCTGTCTGCGTGTTCGGATAAAAACTGGAGGAAAACATAACATTTAAGCGGAAGGATGGATACTTATGATCTTCTACTTTAGAAACTAACCTGACAACAGCCAGATGCATGTCTCGCTCAGCCCAGCTCTACTCACTCCATATGTGAGTGGAGCTAGGCGGAGCGAGACATGCATCTGGCTGTTGTCAGGTTATTTAGAAACAGCTTTCAGTTAAAAATCCATCAAAATTACTTTTCTACATCTATACATTCAGAGAAAAAAATTCCACTGAAATGGCTTCTACAGCTGAAATCTATAGGTTTTATTTGATACAACATAATAAATCTGAAAGGTCTCAATCCATAATTTTTAGCAGGTGGATGAGGGCAGAGGTTTTAGAAACACAATCTTCAAATACCTTTGTATTCGCCCTCTTCTTCTCTGCCTCATCTGGCTGTTCGTTTGAAGCTGCAGTTCCATCCACCCTCCCCTGTTCATGGGAGAGGCGCTCCAGCCGCATGCTCTGTGTAAACGTCTTTAAGAACAACCCAAAAAAAAAAACAAAAAAACATTTTACTCGAGCACTATTATGGTGAGCGATGATTCTAGACACTATTCTAAAATCATCCCCTAAAATCAAACCTGGTTAAACTAGGAATACAGCCTTAAAAGAACGAAGTTTACAAACTAATATTCAAGCTGGGAGTACGGAGGTGGCAGCATCATCATGTGTGGCCTTTATGTAAAAACACTAAGGCAATATCTAAAGACTTGCATTGATATTAAAAACAGAGAAGAAATTAGTCTTTTAAATGGAAAAAAAATATATAATAATAATTAGGGGTGTGGAAAAAAATCATTTTGGCAATATATCGCGATTTTTGGCTGCCTGATATGATATCGATCTTTTAGTTCCTAGTATCGATTTTTTTAAAGGAAACATTTTTTACCTAAAACTGAGGGAAAATGGGCTACCTTTGTTCCGCCACTCTGGCAGATGGCGCTGTGGCGCCCTTTTGCTGTACGGTGCAGCATATTATTCATAGTTGAGGCGTTCACAGTGGAAGACATGGACTCACTTAAACCCCAAACAACATGGATACCAAAATAACTCAACCATCAATATCATCTGATGAACATATACAAAGGTTGCTTTTTTATCTATGCATTTAATTTTGATAGCAGGAAAAAAATCGCAATATATGGTTATAATGCAATAAAGTGATAATATCGTATCGTGACCCGAGTATCGCGACAAGCATCGTATCGCAACACCCATGCCAATACTCACCCCTAATAATAATACTGCAGATTAGGAGCCAAGTGGCTTAAGGAAAATACAGCGACAGGGATCAGGAGTCTCAGTCCCATTGAAAAACAGTTTCAAAGGTACGTTTGTTGGCAAGGTAGCCTATACAAAAACTTCATTACACTAGTTCTGTAGGAGGGGGAATGGCCAAAACTTCAAGGAATCAAAAATATTTAATTTAAGTCATACGGTTGAAAAGATAATATGACCAAATCTATGGCACATATGCAAACCTTTCAATTTGGAAAAAGTTAAAACACCTCCAAACAAATTTCCTTATGAGTGAAATAAATGTCCTTATTCTTATTGACCTATAACAGAAAACGTTCAGAAAAAAAGGATCATATGGCGACTATAAATACGCCATCATGTGTCCTGTCAGAGCAGGAAACAGTTACATCCTGTGGATAAAGACCTAGTTTTCCTTTTAGTTTAGTCAATTTTTGCTTTCTGCTTTCTCTATATACTGATGACAGCTGATCAAAACCAACAGTTATATATATATTTTTTGTTTTTTTGCTTGTTTTTTAACAAACCTGCATGCAGTTTGTAAACATGACGCAGACGGACATGAGCTTAGAGAAGATCCTGAGCAGCTCTGGGTTAGTCAGCATGCAGTCCTTCAGACAGTTATCCAGGAAGCTGGTGTGATGGTGGAGGACGTCGTCGATGTTTGAAGCCTGATGAATGAGAGCAAACATCCAGTGACCAAAAACACATTTAAAGTGTTTATCTGAATCGTTTTGCTTTTTTCACTCACCGTTTTCAGGTTGTTCTCCATGATATGCCAGGTCGGCTCCATCACTTCGAACATCATGTAGTACTGGATGTTCTGCACAAAGTTGAGCATCCGCTGGCGAAGGGCGAACGCAGCTGCAAACCTGCACAAAGATCAGGATTAAATCAAACACCAAAAGCAGATTTCATGGTAGACGCATTTAACAGGGGTTGACGTTAAGGCAAGTGGCTTTCACATTTCATTTGCCCAGAAACAATTTTTACTTGCCCAGTATAATGTTTGATAAATATAGTTCCTAATATTCCTTTCTTAATATATATATATATA